ATAATACAAGACATATTATAGAATATTACACAACAATTCAAATTACAATAAAAACAATTTCACAAATAAATATATACAAATATACATACCAGGCTTTAAATAGATGAGATCTAAATTAATAGTAGAAATCAGAATTAAGTATTTCTATAAAGAAATTACTGAAAGTTAAATATATTTTAAAGTTGTTATCACTTCGAAAGCGAGACAAGGGGTGGTCTGAGTTACTAAGAAATGTTATATTCCAGAACCAAATCATCTAAAAATAACTTGCATACCAAAACAATCATCCATCACTAAACTTGGCAAACCCAGTTCAATCACCCATTAAAAAAGGAAAAAGACAAACATAACACATAACACCCAAAAAGATTTGGGTTTGCCTTTAAGGGAAATAACTACCGTATTTATTATAAAAAGTGAACTTGGCTAAATTTAACCTTATCTACACACCCCCCCTCTAGTTAAAAATGACACCGGCATTTTCTTAAACAATTATTAATGAAAACCTGGATTTATGAAAAAATAACATGATAATAAATCGAAAAACAAAATCAATACCTGTATATTCATATGACGACATAAATATTCATGATTATTTAAGATATACTGCCCTCCTATAACTATTTTGCAATATTAAACAGTAAAATATAAAGAAATAATGCAATAAAGTAGAGTTGTCAATTCTACTTAAAATAATAAATACATTAGTATATACCTCCATACATTGGACCTATATTGAAATTTAAAATGATGCATCAAAAAATGAAACACCCTTTATACAATAATTATACCCATTCTCCATACCTATCTGGTGGATGTATCACCGTCTAGGGCGTGGGATAGGGGTGAAGATAAAACGGGCGTATGTATGGAATGACTGGAATAGTCAATGGAGTACTTGGTCTACTCACTGGAGTAACTGGTACATTTACTGGAGTAACTGGAACAAAAGTTACTGGAGAACTGGAACACCTTACTGGAGTAACTGGGATAGTTACGGAGTAATTGCGAACCTTATGGAGTAACTGGAAACTTACTGGATAACTGGTTACACTCACTGAGTAACTGGGACTTGTCTGGGGATATGTACAGGATTGGGGTGAATCCCTGGGAACAAAAAAGGGAAAAAAAATAAAAAAAATAGAAGGAGCATCAGATGAACCTTATCTACTTTATAAAAACAACCCGAATTACGTGTACAAATTGTTAGCACTTTAAATTTGTTTCATCTTCGTAGTCCTAAATTCATAATGGAAACTGGATAAGTTCTATTAAAGAAATTCGGCGGGTTAAAGATTAAATTATTTAAAAAACAGTGCATTTTCCATATGAATAATAAGTGCAGACCCCATTAAGTTAAATTAACTGTATATTAGAATTCAATCTTAAAGTCATTTAATATACCTCGTTGACAAATATTTGTCCCGTTCTTTACAAGAAGCAAACATGAGTTGATAACATTGAAATGAAGGTTTGGAGCTTATTCGGTGCTTATTACCTGAAATGAGTACCCCTGAATGTGAAATTACATGTATGTGTAAAAATGTAGCAAAATGTAAACAAAGTAGTATTTTGACTTCCATACGAAATACTGCATCATTACAACTGTACCATTTGTCGAAAAGCAACAGAAACAAACTATAGTTAAGGTGATAGGCCAATGAGTAACTTTTTGGAGACTATAACAGGACAACAAAAATAAAGAACCTTGCGAAATAAAAATAAAAGCATTTCAGGTGCATCATTGGCCTTTAAGATTTGATGAAGGCACAAGGGTCCAATATCAATATTGTCAGACCACAAATCAAGAGGTCGTGAGTCAGCTACTCCAACTGAAATTATTCAATAATCGATGTTGGTTTTTGGTTTTTGGTTTTTGGTTTGTTTCTTTGCTTGTGTGTTTGTTTTGTTTTTTTAATGTGTGGTATGCATGGTTCACAACCTCTGGGCCCCTTTTAATATTCCATTTTATTTAGTTCTGCCCGCCCATTGTGTTCTTGTTTATGGCACTGGGATCATGTACGCCGCTGTCCATTCGTGCTGAATTGCACGAAAGTGTCACATTGAAGTTTCCATGATAACCGCCGCATGAACACATCTGCGGATGTTTTAATTTAAAATTTTACTTTTTTCCTGTTAAAATGTTGATCCATGAACAGGCTCAATCACACCAAGCCTGCAACATTTTCAATTTCGTCGATTTTAGCGTTCTAAAGACATTCCGTTTATGTCTTCACTATGCACGATAGATTTTCTTGTTGGGTCGATTTTAATTGAATTTACAAGTGAGCTGGTTGAATTCAACCGACCAATCGTTCTCCCATAATTTTAGTGATTTTATGGTCTTCCTTGTAGTGGCTAATAAGTGTCCAGTATTGATAAACACGCCTCTGTGTACTGATGAGCTTGCAAGCACGTATATGAGCCGCGTCACGACAAAACCAACGTAATGCGTTTGCGACCAGCATGGATCCAGACCAGCCTGCGCATCCGCGCATCTGAATCAGGATCCATTGCTGTTCGCTATTGTTTCTCTACCTATTGGTAATAGGGTTTTGTAAGCGAACAGCATGGAGTCCTGATCCAGTGACTGCGCGAGAATAGCGCGACAGGCTGGTCTGGATCCAGGCTGATCGCAAACGCACTAGCTATGTTGGTTTTGTTGTGACGCGGCTCATATGTGATTTTAGTTCAGATATTGATAGATGTTGATCGTGTGGGTATTTGTATTTGAGTGTAATAAAGCTGTATTAAATCAATCTGTTTTGGGTCTGTTATATACATTACACTGACATCACTACACTTGTGTTTGGGCATCTTCCGTGTGTCTCAGGTTAAAATAAATGCTACAACTCCTGGCGTAGGTTCGTCAAATTTAATGAATATAATATGAAGAAAAAGCCTAAAAACATAGATACATGATTATAATACAAGTTAATTAAAACATACATATTATAATACAACAATTAAGTGATGTAAATAAGAATTATTTCAAGTAAATTAATGAAATGAAAATAATCTTATCACAGCGTCTCTATAAAGAATGAAAACTAAGTTATAGTTCCAAACTGAAAATTCTATCAAGTAAACTTATAGAATTAATGTAAGTAGTATAAATTGTAATCTTAACTCGTAAGAGAATAAAAAGATGAAATGAAATGTTAAAAACCAATGTAAAACTTTACAACACGATTGGACATACGAAAACAGTTCACATACGGACATAGTTGAATTGTCTCAGACGTTTCCGTAAATTTTCGCTAATAAGCGTACGTTACGGAACCACCCGATATAATATTGCCCACGGAAACAAACGACAATCGACGCATGCGCGGACATTAAGTATACTTTTCCCGCGACTAAATGACGAACAGTGCACGACAAAATTAACGTGACAGGTGGATTTGATGTAGATGTCTACAACAGTATCATCTTCGAGTAGGCTCACTTTACATCTGCGTTAATCATCTTAAACAATACTTCAAACTGAATAACGTAAATTGTTTTACCGATGGTGAGTGGTCGATGCGACCATAAAATATTTTTACAATTTTGGCATATTTTGAACGTGTTAACTGTAATATTTAATGGTAATTAAAGTGGCTCAAACTCCTCACAGTGATTTGTTTGGCTATGCTCATATTACTGCCTAAAACTACGATAAGGAAATCTGATTTAGTCGGAATATGTATTAATAGTCTTGTTAGCTTGCTTTACCGGTTGTTATTACATGGGGGGGGGGGGGGTGCACAAAGATTAGTGGTCTTAACCTACATCAAATGGTACATTTATCTGGAAAATATATTTTCAGTCCCATCATGCAGTGAAATTATAATTAATAATTTTCACTGTACATGTATAGCCGGACTAGATCTAGAGCTATTTCATAGCTAAATGGAATTAAGAACAGGAATACATTCCGTCGCATGTAAATTTTGCTCGGTTAGGAGAAGCAAGAAAATAACTGTATCGATATATATAAAGGTTGTGTAAAAATGTAACAAATTCACGAAATTTTACAGAACTTAATTTCAATATTGGCACAGTGACGTCATGATGTGATGACGACATGAAGAAGAACGCATGACGTTACGCAGCAAAGCAATTAAAGATGACTTTAAATTCACTAAAAACATGAAATAAAAAAAATGTTTGTTTTGCATGCATGTAGATTTGATTATATTTCATTTATGAACACCAGTGATTATATTTTCACTATTGTCTCAGTGAAATTCATGTATATTTCGATCTGACATGCACAACAAACAAATGAATTTTAAAACTATCCTCTATATCTACAATTGAGTATATTTGATACCACGGTGGCTTCTATTATAGATATTGGATTTCCCATAGGCACTTGGTTTCGGGATAAAAAAAACCTTTGAGAGGTTTGTAGAACTCAAATATAATTGACTGTTACAATTTTTTAACGTAGATCTAGATGTCTCTTTTCTAAAACCGTTATTTTTCCGATGTTACTAAAAAAGTGTTTTTTTTAGTAACATCGGAAAAATAACGGTTTTAAAAAAGAGACATCTACGTTAAAAAATTGTTACTGTCAATTATATTTGAGTTTTACAAACCTCTCAAAGGTTTTTTTTCTCCCGAAACCAAGTGCCTATGGGATTCCCCCCCCCCCCCCCCCTCACTATTTTAAGGACAATTTCGGGAGTTATCATATAGACATTAAGACAAAATTAAAACTATTCTATATAATTTTTAAATTTGACATGTTCTTAAAATATATGATGACAAAAAACATCCATTCTCCCATTATAAAATTGTATTATTTCTATTATTTTTATTTTGTACATAGGTTATGCATTGCCTTGCCATGGTTTCACTTTTCTTTATTTCACTTTTTGTAATATTCCGTTATATTGTTGTTTTCTCTCACAATCCCTGTTGGGCCTTGAGGTATCAATAAAACTAGAAACGAATCATCAAAGAAGTGGGGCGAGTTGTGATGATTCGAATCGTCTGTGGAGCGAATTGTTTTGGTACCGGTCTGCTGTTAATTCGTACTCAAATTAATTCGTAATCTGTAATTTTGGTCAAATCGGTTGTGTGCAGGCGAGTGCTTGTAATTTGACAGTTTCGTAACACTTATGCTAGTTATCGACTAAGTTATTGTTTTTCTGATTTATCTGTTCTTTCATGGTTAAAATGAATTCCTCCTTGTATAATTTAGTGAACAAAATGATCATCAAACACCCAGACAGGCTCGCTGTTCAATTTGATAATGGGGAGCAACTTTCAGCAATCTCTTACACACAGCTAAGAAACATATCATCTCTGGTAAGAAATGTTCACTATAATTACGTAGGCTAAGTGTAAATCAATCGTCAGTAAGCTAATAAAACGTTTAATTATAATAAAATAGTGATGATGATGATAAAAGTAGAAGTAATATTTCAAATAAATGGAAATTTTAATATATTATAGGAATATTTTAAAGTAAAAATATCATTTATAATTTATCCATATTGGTAGCATCATAATATATGTATTATCAATATCTAAGAATCTTTATTTTTGCCCATATCTTTTGCATTAATTTTGAGTTTGTCCTTTGCATTTTTCTTTTTAAAATTTGAACTTCTATAATATTCTTTTTTTACTAATAATGCAGCATGTTGGGATATTTTGTCAAGGTAATTTCAATTCTACTTTGCATAATATAGGTGATAAAGTTGCTACATGGAAGAGAAAGTGAAGTTATTGGTTTATGTCTTTACACGGACCATAGGTTACCAGCAATTTTACTTGGGTAAATATAATAATGATTGTAAGATTGAAACATTGGCTGCCAGATCTGACAGGTTGCATGAGGTTATTTAAGCTGGCAAAGAGGCACAAAGAAGTTTCTGTTAAACAGTTATCAAAAAGCTGGATAGGATGCCAGTGTTGAATTCGTATGTGGCCTTCTTTTTCATATACAGTAACATATTAATTATAGTTTTAAAAAAAATGAATGAAAACAGAGTATTCAATTATTTTACTTATTTTATTATAAATTTTAAACTCAATACATGCAATATGGCAGAATAGTGTTAATCTGAATAAGCAATTCCCTTCTAGAAAGGCATACAAATGTAAAAATGATGTCATTTAAAACAGATGACTGATACAAATTATTTATACTGTAAATGATATCCTGCTGCTACATTTTGTAATTTGCATGTACACTCAGCAATGTATGGAATATCAGTAAAAGTCTTTAAGAAGTCTATTGAGTATTTTGTACTTAAACGTAATTGTCCATGTGTTATTGGGACAGCCTTCATATAATGTCATTTTTCCAGTCAAGACTTTTTGAAAATGGCAAGAAATAAACTAACTTAAGTTATATTACTTTTCTCCAGAGTCCTTGGATGTAAGGCAGCATTCTACAACTTTGATGCGAAAGGTTTTATGTATGCAAGACAGGTGCTAAAAGATATAGGGACACAGATTCTGTTAGTACATAAAAGTTTTATTCAGGTAAAAAAATGTTCTAACAGTAAGTCATAGGGAAATAAGGGCCTCCTTTACTGAACAGCCCGCATAAAGGAACCCGCGCATAAAGCATGCATCCATTCATATTTTTTTTTTTTTTGTATGTCATTTAACATTAAAGACATCACCAAGATTAATCATGAGTCCTGCTATAATAATGCAGAAATCCAAATTGTAACACAATTAGCTCCCATCCCTGAACAGTGTGTGGAAAGTAAGGAAAAGAAGCCTGGGGCTTAGCTTTCGGGTTCAATCCAGTTCTGTTTTGGCACCAAAAAGTCATAGTCCGAGTCATGCTGCAGGCTTTAGGTGCTGGAATGGAGATACAAATGACTGGTGTATAATTGTTACGTTAAGATGTCTAATTCTAAATTTCTGAAGAAAAATAAAAATACATATACAGATGTAATCAAGTAAATGTAAGACTGTTTTATATAGAAGTATAAATTACATTGTACATGGTTTTGTAATTATGAAACTATTTCACATATTTTTAAACATATCCCAGCTGTGATCAAAGCTAAATGAAGCAGTTAGGCTGAAAGTGGCTGAAAGACACATATCAGGGCATACATGTGTCATAATTATGTTCCTTTGTATAACACCTGTCCAGTGAATGAACAGATCGATAAAAATTAAAAGAACTTGCTTAGAATTGAAATAATGTATAAAGTAGGTAAAACATTTACATTTGATAGATACATGTAATAGCTTTGATAAACTAAGGTCAATTCAAAATAAAGATTAATAGTTCATGTCAACACTATGACAAGTTTACAATATTTTATTTGAGTCTTCTAGTTTCGGTCATTTATATGACCTTCATCAGTTTGGTTTAATATAATTGGTTTTGAATTTAATAGGTCATAAAGAATCAGATCAAAGAAGAGGAGGTTGTTTATACTCCAGTATCAGTTCAAGGGTTAGAAGATTATTTTGTGATACAGTTTACGTGTATCGCACGGAAATATTGTAAATCAAGACTTGCATATTGTATTACTACATCCGGAACCACTGGCAAGCCGAAAGTTGTTATGGTACCAAACGAATGCATAGTGCCTAATATTCTTCATCTAAGGTACAAGTTCATTTGCTCACTTGTTCCCGACATTCTAAAAATATTGTTAGGGGGGCATTGAATTCATTGATGTATTGTCTTAATAAGCTAGCTACCTTTGTTAAATAAAGAGTTTATTATTGTTATTATTATTCTTATTATTTTATTTAATTTTACTAATGAAATATGGTGCTATATCAGTCAATATATTTCTTTTTTTTTAAAAATAAATATGAAATGTAAATATAAAAGTGGGCGGAGTCAAAACTCATATTTAATTTAAGGTACTGCTTTCGCCATTTTGTTTGAAAAATCTGATAAATACAAAACAAATTTTTCTTGAATATTGCTTTGAAAACTGTCTAACTGAGAAAATAAATCCGAACACCAATATCTGTGATCTTTAATTCAGTTATTAATGCTGTACAGACGTTTAAAGAGTTGTTTAATGTGACGTCACAATACAGCGCCAAATATGGCATATATATATATATATATATTTATATTATTAATCTAGCTAGCAGTTAGTGTTATAATGCCATCATAAAATATTTCATGTAGTCATATATACATGTACAGTATTTTACTTCAATAAAGCTGGAGTCTTACACAATGTTTATGATCTTTATGGTTTATAGTTTTAATATGACTCAATCTGTGTCATTCTTTTGATATATTTAAAATTTCAGTAAACTGTTCTCAGTGACCTTAGATGACCTTGTGTTAGGAGCAACAGTCTTGACCTTTGACCCTAGTATTATAGAGATATTTATAGCATTGAGTGTTGGAGCTTGTGTGTTGATGGTACCTCCAACAGTGAAGATGATACCTGACCGTTTACTAGACATTATACATGTTAGGAATAAAGTCACAGTGATTCAGGTAATGACTTCTGTACTTGTGCTCTATGACTCAAAACTTTCTTGAAGGTTTTAAAGTTACATTAATTAAATGTCTGTGATCAGCCAACTAATTGTTGAGTATCATGATAACAAACAATATTAAAGGCACATTCTGCCTCAGAAATTAATAATTTTTGACTTCTTTAGAAAGGGCAAACATGAATTTTAAATGTTCAAATAATGGTTTTTGAGAAATGTTAGATAATTGTTACTTGGAAAAAAAACTACAGTAGTGAAATAATTTGTCATAGATGTAGCCAAATGTAAACTACAGTAGTGAAATAATTTGTCATAGATGTAGCCAAATGTAAACTACAGTAGTGAAATAATTTGTCATAGATGTAGCCAAATGTAAACTACAGTAGTGAAATAATTTGTCATAGATGTAGCCAAATGTAAACTACAGTAGTGAAATAATTTGTCATAGATGTAGCCAAATGTAAACAAAGTAGTATTTGACTCCCACACATAAAACTAATTTAATATAGCAATCGCAACTACTCGGCCCTTTCCGTCAGTCTTCGGTTAAGGACCTCGAACACAATAGTATGAATACACAGAACGGATGCGGTATTTCGGTCTAACCTACGCTAAGAAACTAAACATGTAAACAAATAGTAATTTAATGCTGGAAGTTGTTGACAAATTTATTTCCAATATATGTAGTAAAAGTCCATCTAAAATAAGTGAATTTATAGGTACAAAAGCAAAAAATACATTATTTATATATTTATTATTATGGTTGTAGAAACCGAAAGTACAAAAAACCAACCTGTTGATATTTAGTCAGATTTGTTTAAAATTTAACATCAGTGGGCATATTTAAGTTACAAATTGTTGTCAGACATATTTTCAAGCATTAGAGTACCAGAACAGACATTAGATGTCAAACATATACATTCGTTTTACATTATCTCTGTTTCTGTTTACATCTGAAACCCATGTGGTAGAACTACTTTCAATCCGTATTGAGTCCGAGGTTATTATAGATAATAGCCGAGGCAGTTCCGAATGTCAATATAGCTGTACTTATTGCCAAAAAGCAACAGATGATAAAGATGGTTCTACAGATTCAGGTAAATTGCCAATGAGTAACTTTTTACATACTATAAAAGTACGCCAGGATTAAAAAAGCTATTGAGAAATAAAATTAAAAGTATTTCTGAGGCATAATGGGCCTTTAATTGAAATAATGATATTTGTAAGTGGCCATTAAAGCAAGGGGTAGAGATAGCATTACCAAATCCACTGAAAATAGCAATTAAATATCTTGATTGAGAATGTTTTATTGTGTGAAATACATATACATGTAAAAAATTTCTCATAATTTGTGCAAATAGATTAACTTTTCCAGCCCTCTAACAGCTCTACTTTATACAGGTAACACCAACATTATTTTCAAGATTTGATGCTAGCAAATTATCTGACACAATATTGGGAGATAAATCCAATGTAAGAGTTATTGCCCTTGGTGGAGAGAGGTTCCCATCATGCACTTGGCTGCAGTCAATGAGGTCAACAGGCAACCAGACATGTTTCTATAATCTTTATGGTACAACAGAAGTGTCTTGCTGGGCGACATGCTATAAAGTCACTGACATAGATTTTAGGTAAGAAATCATAAATGTATATCCTGTGAAAATTAGGGCTGTCATCAATACAAATAATATCAATGTATCATTGATATTTTTCTGTTGAATAATAATACAAATGTAGATACACAATTTAGAAAATCAATAATTTTCACTTAATATCTAGATTATGTCTAGAAATTATAAAATTCACCCCAAACATATGTAGAAGCTTATTCCATAGCAGTCACATGACATGATGACAAAAACTGGTCAGCAAATGTACATAGTTTATTTTTTAAATTGAAAAAAAAAATAGCTTACAACCTGTTATAATTAATTAAGTATTCTAATGATTATTAAAATAGTCAACTTGAGTTATAATTATTACAGTTTTGTATGTTTTTGCACAGACTTTCAGAAGAAATTCCCCTTGGTGACCCTCTTCAGGATACAGTGCTTGAGGTACATGATGATGTTGGAAACATTGTTACTGAAGGAACTGGAACACTTTGGATTGGTATAAAATACATAACAGAATCAGATTACCCTGTGCTTGAAAATTAAGATAAAAATCATGGTCAATTTCAAGTGTGTCTAGATTAGTTAAGAGAAAGTTGTCAAGCTCTATGTTTGTAATATTTGTACATCTGTTTGTCTGTTTAAAAAAAAGTTTTCCCCGACATGTAGTCTAATGGTCATTAAATTTTGTATCTCGCCGCTAATTTAGTGATCATGTGGGAGTTATAGATGGTTACTTGCTATGAAATTAGTAATTATTGATTTGTTATCCAGGAAACTTAGTTACATGTAGGTGGATAGATTCCCTAAATACATGTATGACCAAATATGTGTTAAAATCCATGTATGAACAAAAAAATAATAACTGCCGTTAACTCCGGATGATCCAATTTCTTGATAAAATCTCTTTCAAACAAAACATTTAGTAAACACATTTTTTTGTGGTGTGAACAATTGATTTGGTTTTAAAAGAATTTTAATATAAATTGGTTATAGTTTGAACTGTCCTGAAACAATTTGTTACATCATGCTTTAAAAGCAAAGTTGAATTTGTAGAATACTGCTACCAAAATTATTGCTTGAAGTTATTGTATTCTAAGTATTGCAATGTAAAAACACAAATGGTAATTTTGGGTCAAAAGGGTACCTCAACTAACAAATCTTATCATAATTATGTCTTCAACACTTAATAAAAGAATAACTCAAATATCATCTAATTCTAAGTGATATTGACAGGTGGGAGTAGAAGACAATGTATGACTGGTGTTAATGAGGAGCTGAACTTTGATCATGTGGTAGTGAGAGATACTGGGGATATGGTGAGAATACACAATAACAACATATATTATATCAGTAGAAAAGATCAACAGATGAAACGAAATGGTAGAAGGATGAATCTTGAAGAAATTAAAATGGTAATGTATTGATTTATAGAATATGAATACTAGTATAATTATTGTGATTTATATGATTATAAATGCAACATTTACTTAAATATTTATCTTACAGAACTATTATTATATGTGGACTAGACTTTCCTTACTAACAAATTTGCACAATTTTTGTTGAAGAGCTTGCAATATTAAAACATAAAAACTAATATTAACTATGAAGCTATTGGTATAGAATCTGTTCAAACTGCACATATGTGTATATATTATAGGATATGATTTAACTACACATATATGTATATATTATTATCACATGTATATACACATATTTTTAGGAATAGATTACGGGATATTTATATAAGTTGTTGGAATGATGGTATTCAATCTTCATCATTGTTAGATGTATATAGGGAATATAAGATCACATTTGAACAATCGTTATATATAAAATGTATTGAAAATGTAAAATATAGAAATGTTTTAGCAAAAATAAGACTCTCCTCACACAAACTTAATATCGAGTTAGGAAGACATAATAATGTACCAAGGAATGAACGAAAGTGCACTTTATGTTATATGAATGATATAGAAGATGAATTTCACTTTATCCTTAAATGTCCGATATATTCTGAGTTAAGAAAGCAATACATTCCAAGATACTATTATTGCAACACAAGTATGTTTAAATTCATTTCATTAATGCAAACTGGTCGCAAGAAAGAACTGAAAAATTTAGCTATATTCTGTGATAAAGCTTTTAAATTGAGGGATAGTTTGTTATAATATACTGATATGTAAGCTTTACTCTCTTTCTCGTTTTTTTTTCTGTTGTTTAAAAAAAAAAGAAATGTAATGAGTAACATTGTAACTGTTAAATGCGCATCGTATATCCATCATGTAGATTTGTAAAGTTATATGTGAATATGAAATTGTACATATATACATATATTTTTTATTTATTTATTAATATTTGTATCTTCTCAAATTAACTATATCTGTTTTTCAACACATAACCAAATATAAATACCATGATAAAATGTTTTGACAAAACTAATCCTTATAATTAAGTCAAGCGTTAGTTGTTTTGGGTATTGGTCTGTTTTGTGTGGGTTTTCCTTTTCTTTATATATATAAAAAAACGTACAAAATCAGTAAATGTATTCATTTTTCATTCTATTAATATTGATCATGAATTATTAAGGGGAAGTAAATGTTAAAATACTGGTTATGTAAAGTTACCTAAGTTATCCCCCTTCATTTGTCGCAGTTTGCTTTTTTGTATAATGTTTGGTAAAGATAGGCAAATTCTTGTGTATTATATACATGTATTCATATGCTTTTTAAGTAATTTGGTATCTCAAATTAAACATTCTCACATCACATAAACCATTATTTTGTAATTATATATATTCATGTCATGTGTCATTTATGTATTATATGTTCTATTTGTATATTTAATATGGTGATGAGCTTTTTATGCTTAAACCAAGAAATAAAGTTTCTGTTCTGTTCTGTTCTGTATCAGATAGCACATTTTAAAGGTATCACAGTAAAGTTGGACCAGACAATTATATGGAAACTATTCAGCTAACTTAAGAAAAATCAGTGGGTCTTCTCAGTTGCTAATTATGCCTAAAATAATGCTTGGGGATGTATCTTGGGGTTTTCTCCACTTGTAAAACTGGCAAAAGATTCAATACATGTACATGTATAACCTTTATAATATTGGAATGGCTTAAAATGAAAGAACAAATATATTTCCTTTTTCAATTATTTCAGGTTTTAAAAAAACATGAATATGTTCATGATGTGGAAGTATTACTTATAGATAATCAGTTGATTGTGTTTATTGTACCTTCACATCTGGCTGTGAACTCTGAGATGATCAATATATACATGAAGGACAATCTCCCTTCTCATTGGTGGTCAGACGTAGTTATAACTATTGCCAATCTACCTGTCACTCAACATGGTATGTTTGTTGTGCTTTTAGCTTGACTATTCGGTAAGAATAAGAAGAGCTATCCTAGTCACCCGAGCCCCAGCGTCAGCGTAACCACTTATGTTAAAGTTTTTGTAATAGTTTAAATATTTTCAAAGTCCATTAACATATGGCTTGCAAACTTTGCACACATGTTCACCATCATGTCCCCAACCTGTAGACAGGAGGTGGTACTTCTATCAAGCATTTTGACAGAATTATGCCCCTTTTTAGCTCGACTATTCGATAAGAATAAGTAGAGCTATTGCAGTCATCCGAGCGTCGGCGTCGGCGTAACCACTTATGTTAAAGTTTTTGTAATAGTTCAAATATTTTCAAAGTCCATAGACATATGGCTTTGAAACTTTGCACACTTGTTCACCATCATGACCCCAACCTGTAGACAGGAGGAGGTAACTCTATCAAGCATTTTGACAGAATTATGCCCCTTTTTCGACTTAGAATTTACGTTAAAGTTTTTGTAATAGTTCAAATATTTTCAAAGTCCATTGACATATGGCTTTGAAACTTTGCACACTTGTTCACCATCATGACCCCAACCTGTAGACAAGAGGAGGTAACTCTATCAAGCATTTTGACAGAATAATGTCCCTTTTTAGCTCGACTATTCGATAAGAATAAGTAGAGCTATTATAGTCACCCGAGCGTCGGCGTCGGCGTTGGTGTCCGCGTCGGCGTAACCACTTATGTTAAAGTTTTTGTAATAGTTCAAATATTTTCAAAGTCCATTGACATATGGCTTTGAAACTTGGCACACTTGTTCACCATCATGACACCAACCTGTAGACAGGAGGAGGTAACTGTATCAAGCATTTTGACAGAATTATGCCCCTTTTTCGACTTAGAATTTACGTTAAAGTTTTTGTAATAGTTCAAATATTTTCAAAGTCCATTGACATATGGCTTTGAAACTTGGCACACTTGTTCACCATCATGACCCCAACCTGTAGACAGGAGGAGGTAACTGTATCAAGCATTTTGACAGAATTATGCCCCTTTTTCGACTTAGAATTTACGTTAAAGTTTTTGTAATAGTTCAAATATTTTCAAAGTCCATTGACATATGGCTTTGAAACTTTGAACACTTGTTCACCATCATGACCCCAACCTGTAAACAGGAGGAGGTAACTGTATCAAGCATTTTGACAGAATTATGCCCCTTTTTCGACTTAGAATTTACGTTAAAGTTTTTGTAATAGTTCAAATATTTTCAAAGTCCATTGACATATGGCTTTGAAACTTTGCACACTTGTTCACTATCATTACCCCAACCTGTAAACAGGAGGAGGTAATTGTATCAAGCATTTTTTTTACTATCAAGCAGTAAGAATAGTCGAGCGTTGCTGTCCTACCGACAGCTCTTGTTTGACTTAGAATTAAAGTTGCATACCACCTCAGATATTTTCATATTCCATTGACATCTGGCTTTGAACATGTTGAAATTTATACACTTCTTTGTGAGCATAATAGGACTGTCTCCAAGGCCTTTAACTGTAACATGGATTAAAAGAGAAATTTGGCCCTTTTGTTAACTTAGAAAATTTTATATTATCAAGGCTCTTTTACTATCAAGCATTCTATCAAGATTTTTTTTCTTTTAAAATGAAGTTGCTGTAGATCTAGTTGTATACTGGTGCAAATTCTCATATTTTATGTATTAACTTAAAAAAGGGGTGCGAAATCATCATTTCTATGTTATTAGGGCTTTAAAAGCCTCTCAAGGATCAATTTAAACATAAACAAAATATTTGACTGAAATAAAGCATAGAAGTGTCTCATATTATCATTGATATAAAAACATAAAAATTTTAAGTGTAATTTTTTGAATGAATTACAATGTTTACATAGTTTTTAAAGTGTGAATTATGAACCAGTCAACTGTTACACCAGCCCCTGTTTCCCAATCACCTTAGAACATGGTAGACTTTTATCAGACTTTTAGATAAACTACTTATGATGTTTAAGTTGAATATATCTACACCTATTTCAGAACAAAACCACAGCATTGGCCCTGCAGTAAAAGGGCAGATGGAAATTAAAATTTGGTCCATTTTTCCTGCTATTCCTTGCACTTCCAGGGAAGGGAAATTGGGAGGTTCACAATTGACAGGTTCAATAAAATACTTCATATGGTGTATAAAGAGTAATAAACTTATTTAAACTTAATAATCTATTATATACATTCTTTGTACAAACAGTTTTATCCTTTTACAGGTAAAATTGATAAAAAAGCTCTAGAGAAGATTTATTTTGATAGAGACGTTGATGGGGAAAGAATTGATATTACAGAATATCTTGAGTCAATGTGGAAGGTAAGTTTTGCATAAACTATGAACAATAGGGTATGTAAATTACGTCATGTGACTTGCAAGATTTTATGATACTTTGCAAAATTTATAGATATTTTCATACTAAATATTTTTGTATTTAATTATTCATGTTTAATGTTCTCAAACTGTGATATATATAATACATTTATTTATTTTTTTATTTATTTTTTTGAAACGTTTGATATCATGTTACTTTACAGGAGCTTACAGATAGATCTACATCAAGTACATGTATACCAGAAACAGAAAATTTTATACTAGCTGGTGGTGATTCTTTAAAAGCAGTTCAACTTGCTAATGTTATAGAAAATATGTATAACATACTGTTGCCACAACTTGTTGATATAATGCTACATAAAACATACAGTGATGTTAGAAAATATGTTGCCATGTGTGTTCAACAAGAATTACAAAAGGGTGCGAATGTAAAAAGTTCTGAAAATGATCAAAGACTAGTGACAGATAACTTGAACCTGAAAGAAGGCCATGGTATTGATATAAAGTCAGGTGGTGGAAGTTCGGATAAACAAGGTTTTTCTGATGAAAATGTTTGTTTAACAGAAAATGAAAATATTGCTAAAAAAGTGCAAGCAAGAAGAACAGATGATTCAGGTGATGGTATTGGCAATAAGAAGTATGCTGATAAAGAAGTGAAGATTGATAAGGAATTAACTGTATGTTCAAAAACTGCAGACAGTAAACTTGATTATGATGAGAAGTTTTTTGACAAAGTGAAAAAGGTGAGCAAGAAAAGAAAGCTTTCAGGAGAGCATGGGTTATCAAACAAATTAAGTTTGGATTTAAATGATATTCAGTTTACATTAAGAAGATGCAGTCAGTGTGATTATGTGTATGGATATAAAGCAGATGGTGTTAAACATAAAACAATGATAACCAAGGCTTCTAATGTAGATGAGGGTAAAGAGAAATGTACAACAATCGTTGCTGAAAGATATATTTTAACATTAGTAGAAGTGTGGAAATATGACACAGGAAAGTGTGTGGATGCATCCCCATTGCTGCTTGTAAAATCCAGGTTAGTTTAAACTCTAGTATATAACATTCTAGCTCTAATGATAATCACTTTAGAAAAAGCAATACTTCTCTGTATCTTGGGCTTGTGTATTTCTGTAAATTTTTGGAGTGGCTCATATTTTTTTGTATGGGGACTTGTTTTAAATTTGTTATAGGTTATTTATGTCCATAGTTGATAATAAATTATTTTTAAACAGAAAACAGGACAGTGTGAAGAGAGTTTATCAAACAGATGACCAACTAACCATGCTGTTAAAAAAAGTGTTGTTTTTTTTGTTTTTTTCAGTGAAGTTGATGTCATTTTAAAACTTTTGCCTACAATAACTAAACACTTTAATATCTTAGTAAAAGTATGTGCAATTAAAATGCTTAGATTTAATACTTGTTTATCACATAAACAGCGGCACTGAAGTGTAATCAACACGTTTTGTAAAGATGATATTACACTAATGTAATAACGTTTTGATGTGACTTCATTTTCTTTACCATAGCATTAACACGCACTAATGTTAGCGTTACATACTAGGTGTTCAACGAAAAATGACTCTTTTTTTACCATTATTATTTTAGATATGTGATAAATAGAATATTATATTTGTTTAGATTTAATACTAATTTTATATTGTACAAGCCTCTGGTGAGTATATTATTGTTTTATTCAACAAGTCATTACACTCATTCAATACCCTGTGTATTTAATAAAGACATCATTTTACAGGGGAGAGTTTATAGTGATGATAGGATCTCACTCTCACAGGTTTTCGGCTTTATATGGCAGTACAGGGAAAAAACTATGGGAGACAACTCTACCTGACAGACTAGAATCATCAGCTTGTCTAAGTACGTGTGCAAACTTTGTCATCGTAGGTAAGATATACATGTCATTGATATTTGAATCATTTTCTGGCCAGGTCAGATTTGTATTATATAAGTATTGTTTACTCATTTAATTAAATATCTATATTATTAATTATAAAATTTTTCGATCAAATAAATGTAACCTGTTTGATTTAAATGCAATATCTAACATGAGACCACATTGTATATTAGGTGAACTTTATTTCAACAAAAAGAAGTTTGATGAATGTTTTTGAAAGAAAAATTGATAAAAATAAAAACGAGGACCAAAATGTGAAGGTCACTCTTGAATCTTGCTCAGCTATGAAAGTAGCACGCCTCCAGATGGGCCAAAATATTTCAAGAAAATCAATATTGAGAAAAATGTACTAAAATTTTAAGAAAAGTAAAAACATTCAAGATCCAAGTGATATTTTACATGTTGTATGCGGTTTAAAACTGTTTTTGCAGTATTTTATCACCATATTTCTACTGCCTTACTAACGCAGTAAGGACAGAAATTTGCATATGTTGACCACTTTTTGGTAATTTTCTTGGATTGTAAGTGCCGATTGCAATATGTAAGTTGATTTATTTGTTCATCTCACAATATTTTCCTTTAAATACATTTCAAAATTTTTCATGAAAATTAACATGAACTGGAGGCGTGCTGCTTGAAGAAAGTGCTCTCTTTAGAGGTTAAAGTGAGTTTGGTGTTAATAACTTAATATGACTACCTCCATTGACTAGTGCTTTAGATTGTTGACTTGAAGTGGATAGGTCTACAATGGGCACATTTTCTCTAATTTTTTCAAATATTGATAAAAACAATAGAAATGTATTACAAAATGTGTTTGGATATACGTATGTTCTGATAAAAGTTGCTTGGAAAAAAAAAAGTTGATAAAGTTCTTAGTGGTTTAGAATGAACATTTATATGATAAATAATAATAATATTTTGTTATTTTACATTTACATTTTATTATCTGCTATATAAGTACATGTAATATTGGATCATGTATCACACACTTGCCAGCAACTTATACCCATATATAATCTTTTTTTGTGGTTTGTTGTTATGGCTGATACTATATACTTAATTATTCATTGTGCTACACTACTACAGACCCTCTATTATAGACCAATTCACTTTAAAATCACTTGCTTTTCATGGTCTGCACTGTCTGTGATCATGGTCTGCACTGTCTGTGATCATGGTCTGCACTGTCTGTGATCATGGTCTGCACTGTTTGCTATTCCTATTTTTGCAGGTTGTTATGATGGAAGTGTATATATTTTGCATATCAACAACGGTGAAATTTGGTGGCAGTTCGAGACTGGTTCACAAGTGAAGTGTTCACCTGTTGTTGATACCCAAACTGGACTGGTCTACATTGGTTCTCATAGTCAGACTGTGTACTGCTTAGATGTCAGGGTATTTTTGTATTTTATCTTCCAAAATGAACAGATCATTGTTGTTTGAATCCCATTGTTAAGATATGATATGTGAATAAGTTATTCTGCTAGATGACTGTTGAATTCTTATCAGGTTCTACTATGATGTCTGTTGGTGCCTGAAATAATGCACAAAGGGGCACTTGAGGTGTTCCTCACTAAGTCAAGCTGTAAAGTCAGCATATGACCTCTTCTGTGTTTTAGTGACATTAAATCCATCAGAAAAAAAAAGCCAGGCACCTGCATCACTTTCAAAATTGTCATTCAACCATTAACATGAGGATTACACTTGAAAGAAAAAATACACAGTACAGTAGCTGACACTGGTTCTCGTATTGTTTGAATAAACCAGATAGTTACTTACTATCTGTTGTATAATATCTTGATATGCTCTCTTATTTTCTATAGTCACATGGGTTTACCTCAGTATATACATGTACTTGTTTTTAGCTCACCTGTCACAAAGTGACAGGGTGAGCTTTTGTGATCGCTTTTCATCCGGCGTCCGTCCGTCGTCCGTCCGTCCGTCCGTCCGTCGTCCGTCGTCCGTCCGTAAACTTTTGCTTTAAATGACATCTCCTCATAAACCACTGAGCCAATTTCATCCAAACTTCACAGGAATGTTCCTTTGGTGGTCACCTTTAAAAATTGTTCAAAGAATTTAATTCCATGCAGAACTCTGGTTGCCATGGCAACCGAAAGAAAAATCTTTAAATATCTTCTTTTAAAAAACCATAAGAGCTAGAGCTTAGATATTTGGCATTAAACATCTTCTAAAGAGTGTCTACCAAGTTTGTTCAAATAAAAGCCCTGGGGTCAAAATTGGCCCCGCCCAGGGGGGTCATTGATTTTCCCTATATGCATATAGTAAAAACTTAAAAATCTTCTTTTAAAGAACTGTAAGAGCTAGAGCTTAGATATTTGGCATGAAACATCTTCTAGTGAATGTCTACCAAATTTGTTCAAATAAAAGCCCTGGGGTCAAAATTGGCCCCACCCCAGGGGGTCATTGATTTTCCCTATATGCATATAGTAAAAACTTGAAAAATCTACTTTTAAAGAACCCAAAGAGCTAGAGCTAAGATATTTGGCATGAAACATCTTCTAGTGAGTGTCTACCAAGTTTGTTCAAATAAAAGCCCTGGGGTCAAAATTGGCCCCACCCCAGGGGGTCATTGATTTTCCCTATATGCATATAGTAAAAACTTAAAAATCTTCTTTTAAAGAACCGTAAGAGCTAGAGCTTAGATATTTGGCATGAAACATCTTCTTGTGAATGGCTACCAAGTTTGTTCAAATAAAAGCCCTGGGGTCAAAATTGGCCCCGCCCCAGGGGGTCATTGATTTTCCCTATATGCATATAGTAAAAACTTAAAAAATCTTCTTTTAAAGACCAGTAAGAGCTAGAGCTTAGATATTTGGCATGAAACATCTTCTTGTGAATGGCTACCAAGTTTGTTCAAATAATAGCCCTGGGGTCAAAATTGGCCCCGCCCCAGGGGGTCATTGATTTTCCCTATATGCATATAGTAAAAACTTAAAAAATCTTCTTTTAAAGAACCGTAAGAGCTAGAGCTTAGATATTTGGCATGAAACATCTTCTTGTGAATGGCTACCAAGTTTGTTCAAATAAAAGCCCTGGGGTCAAAATTGGCCCCGCCCCAGGGGGTCATTGATTTTCCCTATAATGCATATAGTAAAAACTTAAAAAATCTTCTTTTAAAGAACCCAAAGAGCTAGAGCTAAGATATTTAGCATGAAACATGTTCTAATGGGTGTCTACCAAGTATGTTCAAATAAAAGCCCTGGGGTCAAAACTGGCCCCGCCCCGGGGGTCATTGATTTTCCTTATATGTGTATAGCAAAAACTTAAAAATTTTCTTGAAAAAACCCAAATAGCTTTAGTTTAGATATTAAGCATGAAGCATCTATAAGTAAATATCTACAAATTAAAGCCTGGGGGTCAAAACTGGCCCTGCATCAGGGATGTCATTGTTTTTAACTATATGTGTAAAGTAAAAACTTAAAAAATCTTCTTTTAAAAAACCCAATGAGCTAGAACTTAGATGTTTAGCATGAAACATCTTCTTATGGGTGTCTACCAAGTTTGTTCAAATAAACAAATAAAAGCCCTTGGGTAAACATTGGCATGGGGGGAGGGGGGGGGCTATATACAGGTGAGCGACCTCAGGGCCATCATGGCCCTCTTGTTTTGATACCAGTTTGATAGAATGCTTTGACATGTAAACATATGCATTCGTATTTGGAATAAAATTTATGTATATTAAATGGTGCTCTGGTAATAATAATTCACCATTGGCAATTCAGACGATAGTACACTATTCTCTCTAATGCCTGTTATTTATTCTATACACAAAGAAAGAATTAGAAAATCGCACTATAATAAACAATCATAAATTTTTGTTGTATTTTGGAAATGACACCTACAAAAAATTTGATAAAAATCAGCAGACGAACAGAGAAAAGAAAATTTCATGATCATTAGTGTTAAAGTGGCATAAAGAAATTAGTGACGGACATTACTTTGAGAAGCGGTAACCGTCATTGACTGTGTAACGTTGTACGTTATTATTATGACGTCGATGTCAATAACTTTCTGGAGAGCGCCACTGTCGCGGACATGTGTTTATGTAAAATTAAATATTGTTGCAATATAAGAAGTTTCGCACATGAATTTTTCTGTGTTTATTTGTTATTAATTCTTCTAAGCAGTGTAAGAATTTCAAATTAATATCTCAAATATATTTTAAGCAACAAAGAAAGTCCACGAATTTTTGGATAATCCCTTGTACTAATGGTCACAAAAGTATTTAGTCACATAAATTTTGATGAAATTTAATTTCAGGGACAAAAAGTGGTATGGGAGAGAGACTTGAAATCAGGCAGTATATTTTCCTCCCCCTGTATCAGCAATGATCCACATCATCTTTATATATCTACACTTGGTGGAAAAATATTCACCCTAGATCCAGTAAGTGATATTGTTACAGTATTCATTAAAGAGACTCCACGAGGTTATTTGACATAACGAGACTGGAAATAATTGTTCGAGATTAATGTTTCATTTGATGCAGGTCTAGAACAATATCTTGTGTGTAAAATTTCATATCGTTCCGTCACTGCATTTTTTCAGAATAATTTTTCTAATTGTGCAAAAATACCCAAAATTGAAAGGCGTTGCAAATGCTTTTCACTCAAATTAAGCTAAAAATAGAACTCAGATACAATTTCTAAATTAATCTGAGCATATTTTCTTAATTATCTTTTATGTTGTATGTGCCCAAGCTGATTTATGTAGGAAATCCATTTTTTTTATGTTTTTAGGTTTTGAAGCTCAGTGGAGTTCCTTTAAATAAGTACCCATTGGATTTTTTAATACTTGTGTAATTTAAAAACCACCAACTTTCGTGTCCATCAATCTTCACCTCTAAGGAATGAAATTATGATCATATTCATTTCTATCAGTCTATTTCAACATGCATATTTATTTATTCTTGTAACTTAATAAATAGTATAATTTCAGCTATGACAATGAAGTGTGATATTTAAGAAGATCCCTTAAAAAGAAAATGTTCATTGTACCAAGGATTCTACCATTTTCTGTTTTGAAGTAAAAATCGGGATATTATGATAGCTGCAGCATCATCATAGTTGTAAAAACTTTAATGTAGGCCATTGTTCAAACATGAAACTTGGAATACTTGTTTATCTTGACAAGGTGCAGTTGTCAGACAATAGACCCATTTTTGTGTCGCCTTGAAAAGGTGACATATAGGGGTTACTTTTGTCGGCGGCGTTGGCGGCGTCTGTGTCGTTGTCGGCGTGGTTGTCGGCGTCCCCTAAAGCTTGTCCGGAGCATAACTCAGTCACTTTAAGTCTGATTGACTTCAAACTTGGTATGCATTCTCCTTTCAATAACCCGAAGTGCAGTGCACAAGGACTGGTACTCTGCAGTTCTTATTTTTTGAGTTATTGCCCTTTGTTAATTTTCATACTTTAATTTTGTCCGGGCCATTTCTCTTCAACTAAAAAAGCTATGGACTTGAAACTTCATAGGATGATAGATCTCATTAGGAAGAAGTGCAGTGCACAAGAACCGGTACTCTGCACTTCCTTATTTTTGAGTTATTGCCCTTTGTTAATTTTCATACTTTATTTTTGTCCGGGCCATTTCTCCTAATGTATAAAAGCCATGGACTTGAAACTTCATAGGATGATAGGTCTCATTAAGAAGAAGTGCAGTGCACAAGAACAGGTACTCTGCATTTCTTATTTTTTGAGTTATTGCCCTTTGTTTATTTTCATACTTTAATTTTGTCCTGGCCATTTCTCCTTAAGTATAAAAGCTATGGACTTGAAACTTCATAGGATGATAGATCTCATTAGGAAGAAGTGCAGTGCACAAGAACGGGTACTCTGCATTTCTTAATTTTTTAGTTATGGCCCTTTTTTAATTTTCATACTTAATTTTTGTCCAGGCCATTTCTCCGAAAGTATAAAAGTTATGGACTTGAAACTTCATAGGATGATAGATCTCATGAAGAAAAAGTGCAGTGCATAAGAACTGATACTCTGCATTTCTTATTTCTTGAGTTATTGCCCTTTGTTGATTTTCTTACCTTATTTTTGTCCTGGTCATTTCTCCTCAAGTATGAAAGCTATGGACTTGAAACATCATAGAATGATAGATCTTATTGATAAGAAGTGCAGTGCACAGAAACTGCTGCTCTGCACTTATTATTTTTTTAGTTATTGCCCTTTGTTATTGATTGAATATGGACTACACAAAATGTGAAATTGTTCAGATTTGGATATAAAACATAAAATTTCGAATGGGTCTACGGAACAAAGGATCTAAAAAAAGGACTAAATCACAAACGTCCCCAGTATTGGTGAGTGAAACTCCTGCTAAACGTCAAACAAACTGTACAAAAATGTCTCAATCAATGAATATGGCGGCGTCTCCCCAAGGTGTAATGCCCCAGATTATGCCTCTTCAATATTTTACTCCTTCGTCGTATCAAAATCACATGATTCCGACATCGCCATTATCTCAGGCATTATCGCAGCCAGTGAACCAGCCGTTCATTTCTCAAACACCACAAACTAGCGAGTTTCAACAAACTGTACTTGATAAACTGAATTCATTAGAAAATCGTCTGCAAAAACTTGATAATATTGAACAGCAATTATCATCAATGTCACAGAATATGACCCTGATGGAAAATAGAGTCTCCTCGCTTGAATCATCAGTTTTAGAAAATAACGGTCGAATATTAGATGTAGAAGCCAGTCGTGCTATGGATTCCCAAACGTGTGATGAACTGCTTGAGAAACAGAAATCTATTGACTCAGTCCTAAAGGGGGAGAGAGATCGTATAAAACAGCTTTCGAATGACTATGATACCCTGAAAAAACAAAATCACAATCTATTAGAAGAGGTACAAGATCTTCAATCCCGATCTATGAGGGACAACCTATTATTCTTTGGTCTTGATGAATGTAAATCGTTTGATGAGAGAAAATCCGAAAATTGTATGAACAAAATTTATAGCTTTCTTCAAAATACACTCAATATTACTGACGCCAGAGAAAAAATAAAAATAGACAGGGCCCATCGTATTGGGAATTATGTAAACAGTAAAACACGACCAATAGTAGTTAAGTTCAATTTCTACCAGGACAAGTTAACAGTTAAAGAGCGTGTGCGTGATGTGACCAAAGATCAAGATCATCCCTCGTTCCGAGTCGGTGACCAATTCCCGAAAGCGGTGCAGGAGAAACGGAGGAAGTTGATTCCTACCCTCATTGCTGCCAAACGAGCCAATAAGAATGCTTGGCTATCATATGATAAACTTTGTATTGACGGTAAAATGTTTACGGTAGATACGGTGTCACGTGCCGGTTATGATACTTATTAGGGAAACAACGAGAAACAGTTATCATTTCTACTCTGGAATGTACAGGGTATAAAATCCAAATTAAGTGACTGCGATTTTGTTAATTTTGTATCTGATTTTGATTTTCTTTTGTTAACCGAATGCTGGAACTCTAATCTGTCAAATGTTGATATTAAAGGATACAACTGTTTTGAATGTCCGTCGAGTTAGTGTCATTAAATGTAAACGGTATTCTTTGGTTTAAATTAAAAAAAGAATACTCAAAGTGTGAAAATGACCAATACTTTTGTGTTTGCTACATTCCACCTGAAGATTCTGCTGTCTACAGACATGTTAATTCTCCATTGTTTGATTTTGATTTCTTTGAACATTTAAATACAGAGCTCCGAAAATATAGTGACCTGGGCGATATATACTTACTTGGTGACCTAAATTCACGCACCGGTGAAGAACCAGATTTTATATCAGACTTACAGTTAGACCGTTATGTTTGTATGCCGGAGAATGAAGATCAAAGCGAAAATCTACTTGTGCGTGAAAATCATGATAAACATGTTAATCCATTTGGTGTGAAATTACTGACACTTTGTAAACAAAACAATATGTGTATTACAAATGGGCGTATTTCGCCAGGCCACTGTACTTTTCATTCGGTTAAAAGAAATAAGCCTATACAAAGTACTGTAGACTATTTGATTACTAAATGTGATAATTTTAAATATATATCTAACATGTGTGTAATGGATTTAACTGAATATTCGGACCATTGTCCTATCATTTTTTCTTTAAAATGTAATGCTACACAGATTGACAGTAAATGTAATTATTCGTATGATAAAATTGTTTGGGATATAACAGAAAAGGATAAATTTTTTAATTTACTTTTAAGTAAAACTGATTTATTTGACGACATTATAAGAAAACTTGAGTCTAGTGATATTGATGTGAACCAGGGTGTTGATGCTTTTTCTAAACTTGTGCATGATTTATCATTTCAAAGTTGTGGTAAAACATTTTCGTCTGTCCCTATCACTAAAGAGAAAAAATCTCCATGGTTCAATGAAAAATGTCGAGATGCAAAAGCCTCATTTTTTCGTGCTAAACGTGTATTCAAGAACCATAACTCAGAAGAGAACAAATTATCATTTTTAAAATTTAGAAATGATTTCGCAAAAGCGAAACGTCATGCAAAGAATAATTTTTATAATCAGGAAAAAACTAAATTAGCAGATGTTAGTAAGAAGTCCCCGCGCAAATTCTGAAAGTACATAAAAAAATTTAAAAAACGTGATAAAACGCATAACAATGTTAGTTTGAGCGACTTTAAAAATTATTTTTCAACTTTTTCTAATTCACCAAATATACAACTGAATTCTGATTCTGAGAGATTCTCACGTGATGAAACCGTTATAATTGATGTTTTAGATTCACCTTTGACTGTTAATGAAATTATAAAAACTATTTCTACATTAAACCGCCATAAAAGTTGTGATTACGAAAACAATGTAGCTGACTTTTTTATTGACGCGGAAGATTTTATATCACCATATCTTTGTATAATATTTAATAAAATATTCGAATCAGGAATTTACCCTGAGGGTGTAAAGGTATAATTGTACCTATTTATAAGAAAGGCGATGTTCATGACCCTTCTAACTATAGAGGGATTACCTTAGTGAATGTTATAGCCAAAATTTTATCTTTAACGCTTAGGAACAGAATAAATAAATGGTGTGAAGAAGAAAATATTTTCTGTGATGAACAATTTGGCTTTCGTGATAATCGTTCTACAGCTGACGCCATTTTTTTTGCTACATACTATTATTCAAAAAGTTTTATCGAAAAAGGAAAAACTTTGGTGCGCTTTTATCGACTACCAAAGGGCATTTGACACTGTTGTGAGAGATGAGCTATGGATAAAACTACTTCAATCTGGCGTTAGCTGTAAAATGATTAACATGATTAGAAATATATATAGTAATGTAAAATGTTGTGTGAAAATATCTTCTAGTATGTCTATGTCAGATTTTTCGATGTAACGTTGGGTTTGAAAACAGGGAGAACCATTGTCTCCTTTGCTATTCATACTTTTCATAAATGATATTTCTGCAAATATTGATATAAATGCAATGACTAATAAAGATCTAGAGCTATTATCTATGTATATGATACTTTTGGCAGACGACATTGTACTGTTCACAACTGATCCTAATAGTTTACAGGCACAGTTAGACAAAATATATGATTACTCGTTAAAGTGGGGTTTGAAAGTCAATGTAAATAAGACAAAAGTGTGTGTTTTTGAAAAGAGAAGAACTGATCATAATAACGTCTTTTTTATAAATAATGAAAATATTGAAATTGTTGATAATTTCACATATCTAGGTGTTAAATTTTCATACACTGGAAATCTTCTAAATGCAGTTAAATCGTTGTCAGACCAGGCCCTTAAGGCATACCATAATCTGATGTTTATTTATGATAGAGTTAAATTAGATATCAAAACCAAATTACAACTTTTTAATTCTATGGTTGTACCTATTTTGCTTTATGGATTGGAAATTTGGGGTGTTTACAATTTCAAAGAAGTAGATAAACTACATATAAGATTTTTAAAATATTTGTTAGGAGTACGTAAACAGACACCAAATATGGCAATTTATGGGGAATTAGGGATATTTCCATTGTCTATTGTTGCAAAAGAGAGAGCACTCAAATACTGGTTGAAAATTAAAAATTCTGTAAACATGCCTATTTTTAATGCTTATATTGACCAATGCAACAATGTAAATATTTCTTGTTGGGCAAGTCGCATTCATTCCATTTTAGATCACCTTGGATATTCGCATATAAGACTTAACTTCGATACAAGTATGAATTATTTTCCTCTGTTAAAAAGAACATTACGTGATCAGTTTATACAAGAATGGAATACATCGTTAAATAATATTAGATTTTTACAGACAATTTAAAACAACATTTAGCTATGAAACTTATTTAGATAAGATTACCAATGATATGCATAGAAAACAATTTACATGTTTAAGACTTTGTTCACACAATTTAGAGGTAGAACTAGGCAGATATAGTAGATTAGATAGAGAAAATCGTCTATGTAAAATGTGTAATCAAAATGTAACAGAAACCGAATATCATTTTCTCCTATGTTGTACAAAATACTCTCAAATTCGACAGAAATACCTTGGTAACATATCATGGCCTTCCTTTAATAAATTTAATAGTATTATGTCTTGTAACAGCAAAAAGAAACTGATTTTACTATCGAAATTTATTAAAGAAGCTTTTGAATTGCGTAAAAATACCCTTGAAACTTTAACTGTTTCATGAAAGTTTTTGTTTGTATGAATTTGTAATGTTATTATACTATTCTGTATTGTATGTCTTTGCCATACTTCATGTGTTTTCTTTGTAAATGGCCAAAGGCAATTGATTTGCTGATGATGCTAATAAATTTGAAACTTGAAACTTGTTATTTTTCATATTTCATTTTTGTCATGGCCATTTCTCCTTAACTACATTGTTCACAAGGTGACACATCCGACTCGCGGAGTTCTAGTTTATTTAGAATTTTTGTCAAAAGAGATATTTAAACAGATGAGCATTAATACCAGTGGCCAGTGGTCTTGTTTATCTTTTAAGGTAAAATCTAATGTTGAACATTTTTAGTGTGCAATTGTTTATTTATAAATATTCCAGGCAAGTGGAGAAACAATATGGGAGTATATTGTAACAAAACCAGTGTTCTCATCACCTACCCTCACATCACAAGGAGTGTGTGTTGGTTGTACTGACATGTACATGTATCATTTCAACTTTAATGGAACATTGGTAAGTTGTTTTATCAGCTCATTTCAAAAATTGTTATACATAAATTAGATTTGTGACATATACAAACAAAATAGATTTGTGATATCAGTCGTGTCTGTGCTTCATTATACCCAGACAAAATTTGCACAGAATTAAACTTACATAAACTTACATTTTCTGAAAGCTTATAGTTTGTAGATTTAAAAACATAAAGATCTCTCCCGAGAAGCTTAAAAATAAAAAAAGGACAAAATTTATAATATTATAATTATGCTCTTTGGGATTTCTGAAAAAAGATCAGCAGTATTGCAAAATGATATTTATTTTCATTATTTCAATATTATAAAGACGGATACTTAAAACATTTGCTCTAAATTCATTGGCATGTTCAAAGTTTTAAATATTTATGATATTATTTTCCTCTTGACCAAATGGATGTATCTTCAGCATTCTTCTTTACATGTATAAACCTGTACAAGGTTTATATCTCTTAATTATTAGATAAAGGCAGATTTTTATACCTACAATGTATCATGGCCTTCTTTTTTATCCGTTGGCTTTTGTTTCTGTTTCCAAAAAGTTTTTAGTTTATGCTAATTTATTATAGTTTGTGTTGGATGCTATAAGCTTATTAAAACACTCTCAAATCTGTTTCTGGAACCAACCAGTACTAAGCAATAACAGTAAACTTTCTTGCTCACAGAAACAACAGCTTGCCCTGGACAAGTTTTGAGCCCACGCTGTCAGCAATCCTTAGATTACCAATCTGACATGTTAACCACCTGGCCATGCCACCACTCAAATTTGAACTACCGGTACTTACCAACTGATTTTATTGTTTCTAAGTGGAAGATGGTTCTAAATACATATATACTGATAAGATTACTGATTCACTTTTATATGAAATATTTTGATTACAAATTATTATGTTTATTTTTTTTTCCATCTTTTTCAGTTATGGAAATATTTGACAAATGGCCATATATTTTCATCTCCTTCTTATAAAAGTCGAACATTATCGACTAGGAATGTAAATTGTGCCGAAGATAATTGTGCTGTCTCAGGGTCTACAAAGGATGATAGTATAGATATTGATCAGATCAAACATACTGGTGCTACATCAGGATATATTACATTTGGTTCTCATGACAAATATTTATATTGTGTAACAAATGATGGTAAACTTGTTTGGAAGTTGCAGGTAGATTCAGCGGTGTATTCATCACCATTCCAGTGTATGATTAATTGTAACAGTAATAATTTTGGTGATTATTTCCATACTGATGATTTCAATAAATTTTCAAAACCCCATATCTCTGAAGGACAAGTTAAACAAAATGCATTAGAAAGTTGGTATACTGGTATTCCAGAGCAAGAATTTGAACAAAATCAGGCTGGAAATGAAGCAACTTCTGAAAAAAAAGTCTTAACAAAAAGTGAATTTTCAAACAAAGATGACAACCATCAGGTATCTAAAAATGATAACCCTTGTAAGATCATGAGTGACTGTGAGATGCATGTAGTAGTTTTTGCCTCTACATCTGGTACTTTATATGTAGTAGATGTTCCTACAGGAGTTTTGCTGTGTAAACAACATTTAGATGGTGAAATTTTTTCATCCCCAGTTGTTTATAATAACACTGTTATAGTTGGCTGTAGAAATGATTTTGTATATTGTTTTAAAATATCATCAGACCAAAGCAATAAGTCAGATTGTATGAATAAATAAAATTAAGATATTTGTAGAATTTGCTTGTCAATTTTAATGTTTTGTCCACTTTATCATCCAATCTTGTAAATTCTTAATGTCTGTGAATAAAATGGAGTTCTTTTTAATGTACAAATTGAATATATAACCATTTGTTCATGAACATTCACTGACAACAATGGATAAAGGGGTTACAATTTTTCTAACTTAGACAAAAAGACTGCATGCAAATACATAACTGAAGCAGTGGGAAGACAGGAAAACAATAGACTTCAGATTTTATTCAAAACTAAGGCATATACATAAGGTTTGAAAGGTTAATATACATGTATTTTATATGAACAGTTATTCAAAAGTGGTTAACAAAACATATAAACATAAAATTATATAATTAATGAGAACATTTTGACTAACATATATAGGTATTTGACTTAACCTTACTCTTTGGACATAATTTGTCTTACATACATGTAAATGCTATCTAGATTATTTATATGTTAATACAACCATACAGAGGTAACAAAACAGAATGAGAAAAATCATGCCATACAGGAGAATAAGTAATTTGAATTTTGAAAAAATAATTTTGCAGAATTATGCAAAATTTAAATAAAGTTGAGTGGTCAGAGCTATTCATTAAAGATTCTTATTTATAGATGTTAGTATGAGTTCAGAATCTTGCATCAATGAACTTTTTACATATATAATTAAAAAAGTTACATTGAAACAAGTAATGAAATTCATCTTCAAAATATTGTTTTGGACATTAATGGCATATTCTTTGATTTCTTTCAATATGTAAATTTCTACCTTTTTCTAATGGTAATAAGTGGTTCATAGTTCTGAACTTACAAAGTGTTTTACAAATATTGAAAGGTCATATATCTTAATATTCCTAAAAACAAAATACATATATACCCAAACCTCACAAACATAATTTTTATAAAAAGGACAAGAAAGGACAGAAATTGTTGAATTGTCACATACATGTAGTTACTCATATATATTTGCCAGGTATCATTTAACTTTTAATCATTGCAATTTTCAATCCACAAATCTCAATACTGTATTGTCTCGAAATACACGTACTTATATAATTACAAGTAAAAGAAACTATTGCTCGAGTGTGCACGATTGCTATTTGTATACTTTACCACAGATATACATACACTATTCAACTCCATGACTTTACTCACATGTCCATCATTGATACAATTAATGCTCAAAGGGAAATAACACTGTATAATAAATGTCAAATAATGCTGGAAGAATTGTCTCCCTTGCTAAAAAAATTGTGATCTATCACTATTTTGATAATAATATTTCCATTAGGTAACCAAAAAGATGTAAATATTTATGAAATATTTTGTAAAATAATTTGAAGAGATTTATTCTGCCAAAATGGGGAATTTGTAAGGTTTTTGTTTTGTACGGTTGATACCGTAGGACGGCATATAGGTTTTATCGTACTATGTCGCGCGAGAATTCCCGCGATTTTAATAACATCTCCATTAGCAACTCGTGACGCTTCGTTTGCGACTAATAGCTGTCAATTAGTTAAATGGGGATGTAATTAATTGCAAAGGACTTGACAGATGTTGGCAAAGTAAACTAGATAATCTTTCATCTGTTAACGAAAGTAAACTAATGTTTTGATAGCATAAATATGTTTTGATTTAACATAAACATTGATATAATTGCATCTTAATTGTGTTTCTGTTAACTTCCGGTGAATTAAAAACACGATTTCAGCCGTTTAAATAAATTCTAGCTATTCATATAGAGTCTACATGTTCTCATCTTTTGCTAAAAATATATTTGTTAGGATAACATTCTTGTGAAAAAAATTACCCCCCCCCCCCACACACTTTATTTAATAGTGCAGCTTGTAATCTAATTGCAGTTTATGCTGATGCTGCATGTAATTAATTAGAAAGGTGCCTCACTTGCTAGATGCACATATTTCTCTGTCACAGGGTGAAAAAGAAATTGCATCCTGACTGGAACACAAATCAAGGACCCTCAGTATTTTGTACCGTAACTTTTAATAAAAAGTTAGGCAATTTCCTGGGTTAGACCCTATGTATATTTGGATCAATTGTAAAATGCCCTTATCTTGCAAAAATAACTATAAATTTATTCTAAAATTTCATAAATTTGCTATTGCAAGTCCGGTTTTATCAAATTAATATTAGATATTTAATCTATGAGGATTAACAATGAAGAATACAAGATGTTTTAAATTTGATCCTGAACTTGATCCTGATCCTTAAATATTTGTGAACATAGGGCCTGGATTAAAAGTTATTAATTTTAATTTGTTTCACGACATCTAAGCAACAAAAGTACCAGTGTTTTAAAATTTATTTACTAGTACTGAAAATATTTCTCCTAATTGACAGACACACAATGCGTGGAGAAGGAGGAACAAGTACCGTCACACTGCCAGTGTTGACACCAAAGACAGTTCCGAAGAGATACGAGGAGACACGTCCTGTCCTCATACAAGGATGTGCCCATTCTAAGATCATAGGTAATATTTATAAGACAGTTTCATTTGGAATGTGTATGGTCTTAATCTTTTTTGTGATATGAAAAATTACTTAGTTTATGGCTTTGACTTGTAGGATTTGTGTGGGGAGGGGGGTGTTGGGTTTTCTGTTGTTTTTCATGGGTTTTTTATTTACCATTTTTGGGGACCAGATTTTGAGCCCTTTTCCTACTAAAAATGTTGCAATTCAAGCTTTTCAATATTTCAGAAATTTATGGTCTTGATATTAAAAGAATAAAATTAATTGTTTATATTTTTTATCTTCATCTAAAATGCTGGTAATTTCATGTTTCAATAATATTGCTTTTATTTGCTCCCCTATAATAGTAATTCTCATGTACTTTTCCCTTCTGGAAGGAACATGCAACCATTCCAACAAATTTGAAAAAGCTGCATGTATTATTCTGACAACTTTTAAAGACTTACTTCTGACAAATTTTAATATCATGATTCAGGTTTAGGTCACGAGCTTCACAAGAAGGAACTAGAGAAAGCAGAGGCAGAGAAATTACATGAAATAAAATTAGCAGAGCATGCGGTATGGGAGGAAGCAGAGAAAGTAAAGAATATCGAACTTGCCAAGGCCAAGGAAGAAGCTGCAATAGAACAAGAAAGAGTCATTAAAAAACTGAAGAAACAGCATAGCAAGGCTTTACTGGTATGTTTACATTACTTCTTAAACCCGTAGTCTAATAGTGTATTAAATAAATGGAAGATAGGATGTACATAACAATTAGCTTTAAAAAAAACTGTTTTAAATTCTTATAAAATAAAAAGTGAAATTACACAAAATGATACATATTTATAAAATGATAAGTAAAGAAATAAATGATAAGTAAAAAATAAGTAAGAAATTCATACAAGATACATGTACAAGAAACTTTATTTTAAGTCGGTTTACATATTACAAGAAACATTAGCTAATAAGCTATTTACCGACAATAACAAAGGCATAAAACATATTTACTAACATATAACAGTTCTGAAAATAAAAACATATAAAACTATTAGCAGCTTAAGCATGAAATAAGAGTATCAAGGTTAAGAAGAACTTTACAATAAGATGGTAAATTAAGGCATAGATTGATGACATGCACAGTACATATTGTATTAAAGGTATTAACAGTTTCTGAAAGTAATAAATGACTGTAGTCTAGAAATTTAAGTATGATACATATAGCAATGTGAAATAAATAAAAATAATAATAAAAAATTAATAAGATAGTAATAGTTATAGGTTAACATCTACAATTTATAAATACGTAATTGAAGGTTTCCTAAAAAAATATATAAATAAATAAATAGATAAAATTAAACTTACTTATAAAAGTGCATAAAAATTTATGATAGAACTAATACAGCATAAAAAAGAAACAAGATAAAGCACATACAGTGTAACAAACAAAGTTAACTAAAATTAAGTTGCATGCACAGCCTAATGGAATGGGGAATAAGGAGTTTTAATATGAACAAAGCATACAAACACAACAAAGATTCAACTAGCATAAAATAAAGGGTTTAAGAAAAATTAACACACAACATATAATCAAAGCATCATAGCAAACTAAAAAGGGATGCACAAAAGCAAAGCAAACAAACAAAACATGTAGTCTAAGCATTTACATAAATTAAAAACTAAGCAAAATAACAAACACATAGCAAATTTACAAGCACATAGCACATTTACAGCTTGGGCCACTCCAGACCTGGATCAGTCTCCCAAACTCTTTGTAATTTTCAACCTTGCGGATGTCATTAGGGAGACTGTTCCATATCTGGGCACCTTCAAACCGAAAAGAATTCTTACCGTATGTTACTGTTTTGACCCTTGGGACATTTACACTTTTTTGATACCTAAAAGAATAATTGGAATTTTTAAATTGAATTAAATCATTTATATATGGTGGGAATCAGAAGGTGTTGGTTTATTAAATCATCTTGGATATTCTTTGTAAAAAGGGAGGGAGAGTGCGTTTATAAGGGGAGGAAAATTTAATAGAGAATATTCAGTATTCTGGATATTTCCTATTGTAATATTTTTACAGTCATAGGAAAATGTTTATGTGTCCTTATCAGTGGGTCAAATACCATACCATAGACTCAGATCTTTTATAATAATGTCAGATCTTCAAAAATTACATTGTTTTGTGTTTTATTTGTTAAAAACTACGTCAGTGCTCAAAATTTAAGTTTAGATATGTTTATTTATTTATTATTTTTGAGTGGAAATTTTACTAAAGGTTGAAGAAATTATGCATAACATTTTGAGCCAGAAAATATGTGGAGCAAACAGCTTGTCTTATTCAATGCGTGAAATTTTAATGATAACATTTGTTATTTGGCATAGGAAGAAGCACTCAAAGTTGAAATGGCAATGCAGAAGTTGGCTATTGAGCAGGTGAAACAAGAAAGGTTGGAGGGAGAGCAACGTCTAAAGAAAGCTGTGAAGGAAACAGAGGAACGTTGCCATAAGCAACTTGTAGAAGCTGTAGCACAGGCTCGCACCGAGGAGAAACAGACTGCAAAGGAGGATGCAGAACTAGCTGCACAGTGAGTTTATATTGATAAATTTATTTTAAATAATTTAATGCTTAAAGGAAAGAGCCCTTAGTCTTTACAGAAATATTTTGTTACTTGTTCTTCATGTTGAGTTAAGACTATGTTGTCCTGAGCTCTCAAACTGATATTGAATAATCTAATATAAGAAACAAACAAAAAAACAGAATTTAGTCTGCACTTACATTAATCTTATTTAAGCTCCATTTGCAAGTTGACTTAAGCAATTTCATGTCTTTTAAAGCCACAATATTTGACTTCCTTATCAAATTGTTTGAAAAACTTCTGTATACAAAACATGTATATAGATAAAGTAGAAATGATATCAGTGTAATTTCATGTTTCATGGTACAAAATTTGAGTTCAAGTTTAAAATGTTGACCAATGAAAGTCAATATTTCAGTTAAAGGTTTCATCACACAAAATACGGATTCAAATCTAAGATGTAACAGAGGCTGTTATCATTAAAATTTCAGGTAAAGATTGTTAACCATGAAAAGCTTGTCTGTTAAGGTCTCATAAAACAAAAAGTTTAGGTTCAAGATAAAAATATATACAACAATCTACTATCTCCTGAATTAAAATTCATAGATCAAGTTCAAAAAGCTGATTTTGCCATAAAATTTAGGTTTCATGAAGACAAATTTTAAATTTAAGTATGATATTTTGACCTTGGATTGCCATTCTAATGAAAACTTTAGGTTCAAATATAAAATGTTAACCATTGACTGCTGTTTCATTTTAGGTTTCATGAAGAAAATATTAGGTATAAAATAATGATAGATCTGAAGTTTGTAATGGTGATTTATTTTAAAATTTAAACTTAATACCATGCTTGTGTGTAGGTATATGGCAAGAAATTTAATGGAATTTATCGGTAATGTGGCTTGTGTTAATCAAATTATGAACTTAATACAATGAATGAAGTTTGTAAGGATAAGATGTATAATTGATTTTTCAATAGATTTCTAAATGTTAAGCTGGTTTGACATTAATTTACTTATTTTCCACGTTACCATTTCTTTTAAGACTCTTTGAGTTTTTATGAATTAATTGTTGTGGCATTTTGATATACAATGCAAAGTAATCATTATGTTGGTTTTACTCCAATCAGCCTAATATACTTGAATGAAAATGTATGTCATTTTTGCTTCATTTCTTATGTTTCAACAGAATTTCCCATGCTTTTAGTTTGTGACATGTATTCTTTATTACAATTTTGTCAATACGTTGGCGCCAGTAAAAATCACCAATGAAAGATTTAATGCACCAGAATCAATATCTTGTCTCATTTGGCGCCATTGGCGAGAGACAGTGGGAACCCTGCATTATTTTAACCCTTAACTTGCTGAATTTGTGTAATGGATTTGCCCTGTTTGAAGTTGAAATAGTCCATTCATAGTTAAAGGGATTTTGATATCAAATTACAAAATTTAGCCTCCAACAGTATAGAGCCTGGTCAGACTGCATGAATAAACAGGCTGGCTTGGCTGTTTATACTGACGGTAATGGCTGAACTCATTCCAGCAGGTTGAGAGGTTACATTCCCTTTTATGAAATGTGTTTTCCCTTTTGGTCTTGAATGCATGCATAACTTGCAGTGTTCTAGCATTTGTCTATTGAGTTTTCATAATATTGCAAAACTTATTTTTATCAAATTGAATTTATAATTGAAGTCAAATGATCTAAAATACTTTGGCTCTTAATTTGGTTAGGCTAGTGTTTCTACATGTTTAATTCATTTATTTTATAAGATGAGTAGTATGTTTTGTAAATTGTATCACAAGTTTATATAACATAGTATCACACCAATTCGGACACAATCATGCACTTCAGTTTTTCTCCATTTTGACATCTGCATTTTAGAATCTGATCTTCATGTGGTTTCACATTAAATGATCCGGTAACAAAATTGGTTCATCTAACACTCATCGTTTAATTTAAAGTATACTGAAAATGCTTATATCATATATATATGTAATTGTATATAAGTATTTTTATGTAATTTCAGACAATTTGTTGTCAAGTTTGATACAGCTATGATGGAAAAGAAAAGAGAGAAAGAACTAGCTCTAGAGGTAAAAGGTTTTTTTTTTAGTTTGAAATTATGGCAAACTTTTAACTTCATGAGATATTGTATGGCACCAATGATTTGTTTAGATAGCTATACTTTCAAAGTCGCCCGTAGGTAAAATGTTAAGAAGGGATGTTGCTTTATGTCCAATAAACAATTGTTTACGTTTGATACATGTAATTGGAAAGCTGCTTGTGACTAAATAAACCTAGAAGACCTTTATACTTTAGTATTAATGTATTAATACATTGTAGACTACTTGGAGAAAGATTATAATGGTTGCATTAATTGTCACATAACTAAAAATATTAAACGGTTAATCTGCTTTTAAAACATATTTCCAAATAATCATACTAGAGGCAATGTTATTCAGATATTTTAGTATTTTGGGTTCATGTGTAAGTTTCATTTGTTTGATACTTTAAATTGGAAATAAGACCCTTATTAATAACGAGAATAACATTTCAGAAACTGAGAGATGAAAAAGATCTTGAGAAGGCAAACAAAGTGAGGGATGCCGAGGAACGACAGAGAAGAATTGCTCAAGAGAAAATAGATTCACTTACTAGACAATACGAAGCTGTGATTTCTAGTCTTAAACAAGATATTGAAAAAAAGGAAGAAGAAATAAGATTTCTAGTAGTTGAAAAAGCTGAAGTGCAGAGACAGAAGACTCAAGTAGAAATGTGTCTAGAAGATACAAGGAAAGATTTCCAGGACTTTATAGATAATCTACCTCCTTATCATAAGATGCAGGCCGATTTCCTTCTTCCAAGAGTCTACCTAGATGAACTGGAGAAAAAGGGGTACCAGATAACTCCATTAAGGGCACCGGTAAAAAAGTCAAAGAAGAAAAAGTGAGCAATAAGGACTTTGATTAAAAGTAATATGCTTAAAATCAAAATTATGGTACTTCATTTGTATTTTTTATAAATTAATTTTTTTTAATATGTTTCAATAAAAAAAGAGAAAAATATAGCAGTATGCATATGTTGCCAATTCTTACATACAGGGTTTATCCATTAACCTGCTAAATTTCTTTAAATGGACTTGTCCTGTTTCTATTTTTGGAACAGTCCATTATCAATTTGGGGGTAAATGTTTCTGCAGGTTAAGGATTAGTTTTTCGAGATTATTGACCAGGTTACAATATGTTGTAATGAACCTTTAGCTCAATCCAGCATCACGTAATTTTTCTGACCAAATTCAAAATTTTATAGAAACAGTCAGATGGACTACAGTAGTTATAGACTTGATTTAAATTTTCAAGAATTAACTTAATTTTAGCCGCTCATTGATAAAAAAAAAACACATTGAAATTAATCAATAGTTATCATTGTGACTTTCTTGTATTATGAAGATGCTTCAATATAAATAATGCCATAGAAAACACCTCACACTGAGCAGTAATTCTATCATGAAATTGGTTTAAACATATTTTTATTTAGTTAAATATACACATGTTAATAATTTACACATTACAGCAGAAAGGAATTGGACGGAGAGCTGCAATAGCTCACAGTAGTCCTCTACTTTAACATAAAATTAAGAATGAGATACACGTAAATAAATACTTATGATGTATACTTTTGTTTACTGTACCAAAATACTTGATTATACATCTTGATTATGTACATTTTTATTTCAATTGTATACTGTATAAATCCTTACCCCCACCAAATTGTTTAAATGGACATGTCTGTTGTTAAATCTAGACAAGACCATTTTATCATTTTTAGAGGAAAATTTCAAAATCTGTACTGACTGAATAGATGAAAGTGATAATCATGATCAGATGGCAGGGATTTGCTTGCTGGTACTGGTCTTCACTGGTCTCATAGATAAATTCTGTACCCCCCCCCCTCTTCCTATCCAAAAACAAGGGGTTAAATGTTGTGTATAACTTGTCCTCGAAATACTGTTAACAAACAGTTTTTGAGCTTCCAAATGTCTTTATGAATGTGTCTGCTATTGTTAATGTATGTTTTATCTGTTGATTTTTTTATGCATCAGACAAGATTTTATTTTCTTTTTGTTTATAAAATATCAAAATAAATGTTAAATTTTTTTTTGTTAAAGAAGGTTTTTTTTTTTCATTATTGTTTAATCTGAAAAAGAGTTATCTTATTGGATTCATTCAATCACATATATTTTAAGTATTTTAATTTTATTTTTGTATTATTGATGGCATTGCAATTTGTTGATTGCGGTGGAATATCACTATCTGTTTTGCATGTTCATTTAGACTTTATTTGAGCCAGGCCATGACAAAAACAACATAGTGCGTTTGTGACCCACATGGATCCAGACCAGCCTGCACAGTCTGATCAGATCCATGTTGTTCGCTGTAAGTTTCTCTACTTGTAATAGGGTTTGTAAGTGAACAGCATGGATCCTGGTCAGACTGCATGGTTTCGCAGACTGGTCTGGATTGAAGCTGGTCGCAAACGCACTATGTTGGATTTGTCATGGCATGGCTTATTTATAGAAAAATTGTTGACAATGTTGTTTTTCTATATGATAAACTTGGATTATGTAACACTTAGTGCTATTTACCACCTGAATTTGATGGCACTTCTTAAAAGTAAAACAAAAACGTCAATTTTTTTTCTGAAAAAGACACAATATTGAAAGCTGAGAAAAGAGTATGTTTTGATTTAACTGATTATGTATATTACGATTTTGTCATATTTTATGAAGCAATATTTAGAAAATAACTCTACTTTTACTTGTTAATGTATGCGATGGATTTGTCATGCTTTTGTCCATTGTTTTGTGTTAGATATGTCATTGATATTAGCACAATGCAACAGAAACAAGTAGCCAACACAGAGACTTACATTGTTATATAAAGTTCCATTTCCAGCATTATAGACTTTGACAATTTGACAACACTACAAATCAGATTTTATACTGCTGTTAGCACATGCTTGTGTACTGGTTATTTATTTAAAAATTTGTAGAAGTTGCAAATACAAATTGTCATTCTTTTTTTTTTCTTTTTGTGTAATCATTTACTTCTTTTCTAAAAATAGAATATAGATAATATATAAAACTCTAAAATGTAATGCATTTTGCTATGAAATAAACTTTTTTCACAGTCCATTTTGCATCTCTCCCAGATTTTTAAAGTATTTTTAAATATAATTTTTTTATTCTAAAATATTTCTAAATAGGATTATATGATTTTTTGTTTATATAAAAGGCATTTAAATGAAGTTTTGTTTTGTTGTTGATGTAAATCATGTACATATACTTTTAACTGTTACTGTGTGTTATCTATTAAAATTGGGATTATATTAACCAGATTGATGTTGAAATTTCATTGTTTACAAAACTTTTACTTGAAAGAATTTTATATTTGTTAAAAAAATAAAAATAAAACCAAAGATGAAAAATTATTTGTACCTTTTGTTTTCCTGTTAGTGCTTAGTTGAGAGGCCATTTTAGGGTATAATTAAGGGAATCAAAACAATTTCAAGCCATTCTAGTTGGAGAGCTTACGAAGAAGTTTTCCCCAGCAGTACAACAAGGGCCATAATCGTGACTCGCAATACGTCTTAAAATTTGTATAAAAATGTGAGACTGAATTAGAGATTGTAGTTTGGCACTTCCATTTAACCCAAAAGTCCTTCATAATCTGGCAGCATCCCTATAAACGTTAAGATTATCCAATGAAATTCGCAGTATTATAAAACTGGATGTTACACCAGTAAGTAATGGGAATAATTTTAGTGAAGTTGAGCCCTATTCTTACTGAGTTGTTAAACTATTTGATTTAATCTGGTGATAACATGGCTTTTCTCCGATAATTTCATTAGAATGTAGATCTAGATAGTTCTTTCATTTTATTGAGATATGCAAATTTGTATAAATTTCCTCCATCAACAGTATATTGTCCATAACTTGTCATTTTACAATATTCAAACAGATGCTAGCCAAACAATACATATCGCACCGATTATCTTCTGGTTGGCATTAAAGGTGCATGCCTCCAGTTTCATGCAAATTTTCATAAAAAAATTGAAAATGTATTTAAAATGAAATATTGTGATATATACAAAGAAAGGAATTGGGACTAACAATCCACGTAAATAACCAAAAATATGCAAAAAGAGTGCTTACTGCGTTAGTCCACGCAGTAGATAAATACTGCAAAATCAGTTATTAATCGCACAAAACATGATTATTCAATCTTAAATTTTTACCTTTCTAAAGATCCTAGTGCATTTTTCTCAAATTTTATTTTCTTGAACTATTTTGGCTCATCTGGAGGTATGCTGCTTTAATAGCTGCCAATTTGAACTGAATACATGTATTCACATACATGGTATTATTAGTCGTTTCCTTCCAAATTGTATGAGGCTTTGACTGTGTTAGAATTAAAGATATTTCGGCACTTTAATGAATACAGGCAAAATTGAATACAGGGAATAAATCAAATTATGTACGAAGGAGGATGGAGTGATAATCAACATATAATAAAAGTTCAAACAAACATGCAGGGTTCAAACATTTACAATAACTTATAGAAATAGTAAAAACAAATGTGTCGTGATTTTATTTCCCTTTGTGCCTGTATCAAAAATAACAACCTGTTCTGACATATAAATAAATAAATAAAAAATAATTAAAACAACTAGGTTTTATAAGGACGAGTATTTTTTTAAGATACGTGTATTAAACATTGAAAAGTTCTTAGAAAATTGGCAATACTTTGTTTACGATACTTGTTGGCTTACTTTAATACTTCTGTGTGTTTTTGTACAAGTAATCCTCTAAAAACAGTTTATTTCTGATGCTATAATGTCAGTCAAAGATTAGTGATTTATGGTTTATTTGTTTGACTTTATGACACTGTTTTTCCTTTTTCTCATGAAAACAAACACTTGTAGTGATGCAGATCTTGATAGATTTCACATTGCACGTGTTTGACAAAATATTTCTGTTTTAACTTGCAGTTTATGACCGCTAATTGCAGATGATCCATGTTAAGCTCTTGATTAAATGAAGAAGAAAAAAGTTAATGTATTATACACTTGTAAATGAAACATTGAGAAATATTGATGAAATACGTATTTTCATTTTCCGTATATTCACTGTAAAAAATATTTTTCACTGCAGTGAAACACTTTTTTTTGTATTTTCACTGTTGTCTTGCTGGACAGTTTTCTTCTAAATTCAGCCAATACACAAAATTAATGGGGAATACTTTCAAATCATAAGGTTTAGTATATTATATTCATTCTGGCAACAGTTAGTTAATAATTATCTATTACACAAAGTTTTCTATCCCCAACGTTTCGAGGGGTTAAACCCCTCTTTTTTAATGAGTTTCTGTTTATTTTTACAAATCACACATTTATCTTCTTACATATCTTATCTTACACTGTGTTATGTATACATCATGTATAAATTTTGCAGATGATGAAGTTGATGATTCTGAAGCTATTGTTGTTGATTTTAACTTCTAGTCATGATGAAAAGAAGGAGGTGTTGAATCTGTTTAGTGTTTCATTAAAGTAATAAGTACCAATCGCTTATTTCATATTTTGGCATTTTCAAAATACAAAATGGCATACTTAAACGATTCTCAAAATGGAAAGGACATGGCTGTCTGTCTATGCAAGTTTCTAATGTAGGAAATCTGTCAAGATGATCCGAAAGGTTTCTTTCATTTCAGCAGACGACAGTTTGTTGGCTTCTTTGCGCGGTTAAACCGGAGATAATGTTCCACAGAAAATTCTCGTTTGATTACAAGACATATTTCCCGCTCAAAGACTTTTTTATGGTTTCTCCTGGGTGGGTCTAAGATGAAATAAGTGAATGACAAAATTATGTTAACGGTTCCAAATGTAAATAACTTAATAATATGAGGTGTAAAAAGAAATGCTTTTTGGACAGCACTGAATGAACGTGGTCGTGAAAAACCGAGTTTTATAAATAGTATAATAAATAATATAAATGAAGTGTACAATTAACAATGTCTACATTACAAAAACAAACGAAGAAAGACATTTTATTTGGTACTTTAGTTCTTCATTTGTCTCTTCATTGTTCAGTGAAAATGTAGCTGTAATGAGGAAAATGAAGTCGGGCCCACGCAGACACCGTGGTATTCCGGACATTTATTAATTTACATATACTATGTAGCACCACCTTTAATCATTGCAGATTTACGTCGTAAGATTTTCTAATCATGTGTATTTTAATAGTAATTGAAAGATAAATGACAAAAAGATAATATTATCATTACAAATACCGGTTGCAAAGAGGCTACGAGTCCATCTTATCCTCAATCTTATAATATCATACATTAAACATTGACCGTGAAAATAAAGTATATGAAGATAACGTTATTACACTCGAATCAGTTCAATAATTTGTTAAGA